AGCTGCAGCTACTGTTGTTCCATCCTACACTCAAAGTGCAACATACAGTACAACAGCAGTTACTTACTCTGGTAAGAATTCATATTTTGTTGCTGGAATCTTTGCAGTTGCTTCAGGAGAGGCTTTCAATACTCAGAATTTTAGCAGTTCATTTTCAGTTGCATCATAGTTCACCAAGAAGTATCAACCAGTGAAATTATTGTAATGGCAGAGTATTTTGCTGTATCTTTAAAACAGGTTTGTTGTCTTTGTCCTGGTCCAGTTAAATTCAGGAGTGTTCAAATGTTTACCCCAATGTGAATTACGACGCAAACAAGGTCAAAATACTGTTAGGGAGTGAGACTTTATTATTGGTCATGCAAGAGGGAGAGAAGGGGCAGTAGAAAAGTTAGAAACAGGAAAGGGAGATAGTTAGAAGTAAGCAAGGTTTGGTATGCCAGAGCAGAGATAGTCACCACCATGGATCCAGATGATCCAAAGTCATATAACAGATGGAGTAGTCACCACCATGGGTCCAGCAGCATTCTGATGATCCACAGTCATCTTTCTCTTCAGTGGTAGGTATCCGCCATGCTCTGGATACTGGTCCTTTTTATAGGGCTCTGTCAGGGCACTGATTGGTCAGTTTCCCTGGAGATGAGCAGTATTCCCAGCCTCGTGGTGCCTCGTGGTCTCAGCATTCAGAGGATGTAGGTGGTGGACTATGGTGCCTCCTTAGCCTGGTAGCTGGAGAGGATGTTATTTGTTAGCTGGAGGATTTGGGTGGTGGACAGTGGGCCTCATTGTCTTGGCACCTAGAGGATTTCCATGGCTGGAGGCATCCTGTGGCTTAGCAAGCTTTGAGGCAGTCACCAAAGCCTGTTGGGGCCTGGCTAGCAGAGAAGCTGTAACTTGACCAACAGTTAAAGGAATGCTTAAGCAATTAAAAACACACATAAAACAGGTCTTTCTGGCCTTGTTTCTATCTTCATGCATTCCTGTGTCTTATATCCAACACCTTATAATGGTCTTGTTCTCTCCAGCTGCCAGGGTTTTTAGGTTTGGTTTTAGTTTTACTGCCTTATAGATAAGTCATCTTGCTAGGAAGCCGAGAATAGTGCTGTTGTTTAGATTCTCATAGACACTGTGTAGCTCTTGTTACCAGTTTCCCAGGATGTGAGAGCGGGATGCAGCTTGAACTTGTAACCTATCGTAAGTAAGAATTGTACGTATTGGCAAGTGGAGCAACCAGTCCAAAGTTGTGGAATCAGTGCGTAGCTGCATGTACCGGAGACATTTTACTATAAATACTGTTAGGTGCCCTTGGCTCTCAGAGCATCATAATGATGTGCTGTAGTCCGTCCCTCACAAGGACCCCAACACAAGCCTTTGCCACACAACAAGCCATCAAGGCCAGACAATGTCAAATCAAACATTTCTTAAAGGTCCCTGACAGTCTTACATGCCTGTTTTGTTATATGTGAGAATATACAAAGTGTTGGCATTGCCACATGAATGGTAACCTCCTAGAGAAGGTTTGGAAAGGAAAAATGGGGGTTAGAAAAAATAAGGAAATGCATCAACAGAAATGTTACCCCAGGCAAGTGAGAAGGAAGGATGCAGTTACAGAGACAAAAGGAGCAGTTTGTTACACATCTTTTAAGATTGGGCTGTCTTGGCCCAAGACAGGCGGAGAATGGGTTCTGAAAAAAAAACAACTTTCATTCAACTGTTAGGAATCCAAAAAGTAGTTAAAGAGGAAAATATGTTAACATTAGAGCCAGATGGTAATCAAGTGGGATGTTACAGCTACCTTGAACTTTTTGGGTTGTGTTCTGTTCAAGAAGAGATTTTAGTACTCCTTGAGACAGAGCCTAGTTTCCTTGATTTATTCATAATAGCATCGTATGTTAAGGGGTTGGAATGGACCTTAGAGATCATCTAGTTCCAACCTCCCCTGCCCTGTGCAGGGACACCTCCCAGTAGACCAGGTTGGTCAAGACTTTATCCAGCCTGGCTTTGAACACTACCAAGTTTGGGGCAGAATACTGCCCAGGCCGGGGCAGTGATATGCAACTTTGATACTAGAAAGCAAGGGCTCTGTAGCCAGGTTCTAGTGAGCAAGCAACTTCTCTGCACTAACTTAAACCAAGGAACTAGGACACAAGACATTATGTCTTGTATCTTATTTTTTTCCCCTTCCTCTACATAATGTCATTCTTCCTTGCCATTTGGAAACATGGACAGCAAATCTGGTTCTGGAAGACTGCTTACTTCAAGTGGCCTTTGATAAATCTTCCGTCAAAGTCCTTGTTCCATCATACTCAGTCTTACCAGATGTACCAGGAAGTTTCACATGTTCTTTAGGGACGCTTTGATATATGTAACATGACTGTGTGTCTGCAGAGATGTGTCTAAAATTGAATATATTCCGATGTAATTGGTAGCTGTGTATTTGTGTACTGTGAAACATCAAGCAAAATTCACACTGCCTAAGACAATTTCAGTAAATTACTTGTATCTTGCCCTACCTCCTTACTCCATTGCGCAGCATGACTTGAATTAGTGTATTGTGCAACTGACACATGATATACAGTGATGTAACATTTGTTTTATTTTGGTTTTTGAGGTACCTCTTATTCTGGCTATGAAGCCGCAGTGTATTCAGCTGCATCGTCCTATTACCAACAGCAGCAGCAGCAACAGAAACAGGCTGCGGCGGCAGCTGCTGCTGCTGCTGCAACAGCTGCTTGGACAGGGACCACCTTTACTAAAAAGGCACCATTCCAAAATAAGCAACTGAAACCAAAACAACCTCCCAAACCGCCCCAGATCCACTACTGTGATGTTTGCAAGATCAGCTGTGCTGGACCACAGGTATCTGTATTACGCAATATGCTACTATATACTTTAGTCATAATTTCTTCAACTAAAAAACTGACCCTATTAAGAATCATAGAATCATAGAGTAGCCTGGTTTGGAAGGGACCTTAAAGATGATTTAGTTCCCACCCCGCTGCGATGGGCAGGGACACCATTCAGTAGATCAGGTTGCTGAGACCTCTATCCAACCTGGCCTTGAACACTCCCAGGGACGGGGCATCCACAGCCTGCCTGGGCAGCCTGTTACAGTGCCTCACTACCCTCACAGTAAAGAATTTTTTCCTAGTATTTAAACCTATTTACTTTCAGTTTGAAGCCATTCCCCCTTGTCCTGTCAATACATGCTCTTGTAAAAGGTCCCCATCCTTCTTGTAGGCTCCTTTCAGGTACTGGAAGGCCACAGTTAGGTCACTCTGAGGCCTTCTTTTTTCCAGGCTGAACAAACTAAATTCTCTTAGCCTTTCCTCATTTAGAGAGGTGCTCCAGCCCTCTAATCAAGAATAGTTGTTAATTTTGAAAGACCTGATACTATATGTCTACTAAAGGAATAATTAAATGAAAATGTGCCCTATTATAGAAAGAGTTCCTATGAGAAGACAAAAACATACATCCTCTGAGCTTGTACAGAGAAGTTTCAGACTTTAGAATTGGACTTCAGAATTATTTGAAACTTTGAATTTGATTTGCTTCTTTAGCACAGCAAAATTCTTAGAAAATACTTGTTGAAATCTATGGAATTACATAAATTTTGTGAATGGTAAGCCTGATAATTTATTGTTCGTTGTATTCCAGCATCACGGTTTAGTTTCACAGTGGGCACAGGTGCATTGAAAGTAGATACCAACTCATGCAGAATGTTTACATGTGTGTCTGGATAAAACAGTTCTTTTTCTTTAGGTAAACTTGTCATTATTTCCCACCCTGTCTTCTCTCTAGATTGCCATTGTTAATATAAGAAGTAATACCAACTTCTGCATTTCATTTTCTGTACAGCTTTATTTATTCTCTATCTTCTTTTAAATTGATTTTCTGTTATCTGGGTACACTTGATGAATGTAGTCTTATAGTTTGAGGAAAAATCAAAATCAAGAATAACAGTGCACTGCAGGAAAATGCAGATCATGTCAGTGGTAATATCTGTTGACCACTACTTGATAGGGGAATTGAGAAGTTAGAGGAGAAAAGCCTGTATTGTTTTACCTAAATATGGAATCCTGGTGGTGGAGAAGAAAATTCACTTGTCTTAGAAGTGGCCCACTAATGCCTTAGAGCGTGTCATACAGAGGAAATGTTCAGCAGAGGAAATGTTTCTTAGGTGAAGTGTGTGTTTTATGCTGATTTCTATAATACATGTACTCACATGTTTGTTGAATGAGCCGTACAAAGACAACTTACTGTGTGTGTGTTGTTTATTTAAACAGACTTATAAAGAACACTTAGAAGGCCAGAAACACAAAAAGAAAGAAGCAGCATTAAAAGCTTCCCAGAACACCAATAACAACAGTACTTCTGCTCGTGGAACTCAGAATCAGTTGCGCTGTGAGCTCTGTGATGTGTCTTGTACAGGAGCGGATGCTTACGCTGCTCATATCCGTGGAGCCAAGCATCAGAAAGTAAGAGTTTTCCCTTCTTCTTAAAATACAACTCAGTATACATGTTTCTTCCCATCATTTTTTCTTATATTAAGGAAGGAGTAGATATGCAGAAAATACGTAATTTGAATTCTTTTATTTAAAAGCTTCTGCTTTTTGTTTCAAACTTGTCTTTAATTGTAAAGGCCTTGCTGAAAGAAGTGGAGGGAAATACTGCCATATCATCAGGAAGAGGTTGTATTGGGAAAATTATGTATAGGAGAAAAGTGTAGAATAAGACGAGGAAAAGAGTCATTGAGGACACGCAGTAGCATTCTTGTGCTACCTCTTTTCAGTAGTCCTCTTGAGATTCATCTTACTTGTCTGGTGCTGTGAAGGTTTCAGTGCACTTTGAAACACTGTAAGCTGAGACAGTGCCAAGAAACAGGAGTATTATGCATCACTCCTTGGTAATTCTTGCCAAAATAAATTATCATGTGAAAGCAAGGAACAATGTCTTGTAGCAGACTTTATAATGTCTGTTTGGAAGACATCTGGTATGCATGTTTTTCCTGCTGTTTGGGTGCACTTAGGTAGGCATTCTGGAATAAAAGCTGTGGGTTGCACTGTGAAATGCTGTGACCAGTGTTTTACAATTGGCCACACAATAGTAAATGCAATGGTAGAGTAGAATGTGTGTTTAAGTATTACAGATTTACCTCGTAACTCTGGAAATATTAATGTCAGTAACAAATGTAATATTCATACTCAGCTTTTATAGCTCTTTACATTTCAAAACACAGGCAACAGTGACATTGTTCCTATTAAAATAATTAAATTTCATAGCAGATTTAAAACATTGTCCCACAAGAGTAAAAATTAAAATTTAGACAGACTTGTCAAGTGTTCTTTCTTCTTTAATACATTGGGCTATTACTTTTTTGGGTTGTGCCCGATAACTCTGTAGATATATGGAGTATAGTGTGTACTATCCTTACATACTTGGATATAGTTTTCTCTTCTTGTTGTATAGTTGCTGACCACTGCTATTTTAGGCTCTTAACCGTTTAGAAACAAAATCTCAAAGGGCTCTCTTTATTGCTGTGGTAACTGAAAAACTGTGTGCATTCTACTAGAAAAAAAAGTCATTTTGAATAGTTGCTTGAACAAATGTATAGTATTGTCTGACATTAGCATGTCTGTATTCTGATAGGGAACACAAAAATTAACAACCAAAATCTAAGTAAATTATACAGTTGTGTGCATATCATGATTGTGTACATGTGTTTGCATTCATTAAAGGTATGTCTTGCAGATTTGTGGCTTTTTTTACTGTTGTTTCAAAAACCAGTCTTTAGTGTTGAATTTGCATGTTTTCTTCTTATGGACTACATGCATTACTTTTTCAGGTGATGATCAGCAGTCACCAAAAAGGAGTGTTAGTCCCTCTCAGGCATGTTGTGAAAAGGCCTCTGCTTGTTACTTCTAAGAATAAGCATATACCCCTTTACTTTCTATGAGATACTAAAGAGCTCTGAAGTACCTCTCACATCCTCCTTGACTATTTCTGTACATGTACCTTTTTATCTTTTGGTTGGTTGGCTGGTTGTTTTATTAAAATAGAAAACCTTTGCCTAAGGAATATCTTCAGTTTTGTTAGGTAACATGGAAATTCTTTCAGTGGGAATACTCTTAAATTGTAGCAATCAAAAGAGACAGTGTTGTTAGTTCAGTAACTTATTTCCAAATACTGTTTGGAAGCAAGTTAGTTCAAGGTATTACACTTTGGGTGGGAGACTAAAAGCGACAAGGCAACAAAATAGACACATTGAAACACGAGGAGCAAAATGTTTCCTTGAACTGTACTGACTTGTGAGTCTATTGCTTTGCTGTTCTCATCTGCACACTTTTGGAGTAAATGCCTGGATTGCTAATGGAAATAAGCAACATGAGATAAATATGAACTATTTCCTTTTTATGGATGACAAGGGCTTTTAGATGTCTTGCTAAGACCACTTTTTGTAAAAAAAACAATAGCTAACTTTAAAATTATATTAATTTTTTTAGTTATGTTGATCTTTGTGATACATTAGTTTTATATTGTGGATTTCTCTTCATACTAACAGGTAGTAAAGCTGCACACAAAACTTGGCAAACCCATTCCTTCAACTGAACCAAATGTGGTTACCCAAGCTACTTCCTCAACTTCCACATCTGCTTCCAAACCAACTGCCTCTGCTTCAAATATAGCAACTAGCAGCAGCACGGTGAACTCCTCTGTTGCATCCTCTGCAGTGAAAATTCTCACTCCCACGACAAACGCACCAGTTAACACTGCGTCCAACAACAAAACATCTTCAACTGCTGCTAATGTAGCTGTAAAGAAAATATCTACACCGAAAATAAACTTTGTTGGCAAGTACAGAAGTCAGTCTTTATTTTGAAACCTAACCTATTCTATAATTTTCTTTTTAAGAATTAGTACACCAAATACCAATGTGTTTAGTTAACTTTATGCATGAGAAACTGTTGGGCCTAAGGGAATTAGTGATAGGTGAAAACAAGAATGTATATAAAGCTTTTGCTGCAAAATCAATGGCATTTTCTGCCTGGTTGTCTCCACCTGAGTTCTCTTGAAGGTGTCTCCCACCTTCATAACAAGCTCCCCACCTTTGGTTGCTTATGTAGTTCCTGCTGTAATGTTACTGTTTGTAGTCCAGTTGGTCCTAATTTTAGTTCACAGCCTGGGCTGTTAAGAGATTGGCAGTTGGTGACTGAGCAACTGAAACATCCTTGTAACAGTGGAAACCGAACCGTGGAGACTTTGTACTGAGCGTGACAGACATTCAGAGATGGGAAGCAGCTGTTCCACAATAAGCTATCCTGCTCTTCAAGGAAGGACCTATACAGTTGCAACACTAAGAGTATAATGCTTTTATTGGTACAAACATTGTAAGGTTTTGAAGTACTTCTTTCGGATACCTTTGCAAAACTCCAAAAAGATTATTAATATATATTTGCTGAGCTGTTCCCACTCAGGCCTGTCTCTTAAAAAAGCAGGAAAACAAATAATGAAAATGGTAATTTTATAAAGCAGAAGTTTTCTTGTTGAAATAAAAAATGTGGGTATTTAAATAACTTAATGTTGTTAAACTTAGTTTTAAAATCTTCAATGATATTTAAAATATGTGTAAGTTTTAATTGATTTTAAAATACAGAGAATGCTTTGGTCAGAACAGTGATATTTGCAAATAAAGGCTTCAGCTTGCACATCATGTTTAATCGCATCCTCGTTTTAGGAAGTTAATAATTTAACTTTTTGATTTCTAGGTGGCAATAAACTTCAGACAACAGGAAGTAAAATGGTTTTAAAACAACTCCTGCTGCCACAGCGCAAACACAGGAAGTAAAACCAGATACAACAGCTGAACCAGTGACTCCTACAACTCTTGCTGCCTTGCAAAGCGATGTCCAGCCAGTGGGCCATGACTATGTGGAGGAGGTATTAATATGAAAATGTGTATTATTTTTAACTGTTCTAGTGAACATAATCATAGAGTGGTTGAGGTTAGCAGGGATCTCTTCAGGTCATCTTGTTAACGCCTCTGCTCACATAGAGCCACCTGCAGCTAGTCACCCAGGACCATGTCCAGGTGTTTTTTGAGTATTTCCAGGGATGGAGACTCCATAACCTGGGCAGTCCATGCCAGAGCTCAGTCACTCTCACAATAAAAAGCTATTTCTTGATGTTCAGCTCTGTGTCAGTTTGTGCCCATTGCCTCTGGTTCTGGCACTGGACACCACTGAAAAAGGCCTGGCTCTGTCCTCTTCAGACCCTTCCTTCAAGTATTTATGTACATTAAGAAGATCCCCCTCAGCCTTCTCTTCTCCAAGCCGAAATGTCCCAGCGCTCCCAGCCTTTCCTCATAGGAGAAATGCTGTAGTTTCTTCAGCATCTTTGTGGGCCTTTTGTTGAACTCTGTCCAGGGCGTGGGCATGTTCCACCATTCATACAGAATTTTGCACTTCCCCTGGTAAAACTTCCTGAGATTCCTGTCAGCCCATTTTTCTAACCCACTGTGGTCCCTCTGGATAACAGTACAACCTTCCAGTGTATCAGCCACTCCTAGTTTTGTGTCATCAGCAAACTTGCTGGGATACACTCTGCCACATCATCCTGATCATAACTGAAGATAATAAAAAGGACTATAGCCAGTATTGATCCCTGGGGTACACTGCTAGCTGCTAGCCTCCAACTACGCTTCATTCTACTGACCATCCTTGGGCCAGGCTGTTCAGACTGTTTTCAGTCCAACTGATGTATGCTTATCCAATCTATGCATTAAGAGCTTGCATATGAGGACATCGTAGTGAGACTGTCAAAGCCTTTACTGCAGTCCAGGTGGACAGTATCGGCTGCTCTGTCCTCGTCTGCCAGGCCTTCACCTTGGTGAAGCCATGCTGACTGCTCCCAATGGTTTTCTTAACTTTGTTGTACCTGGAAATGGTTTCCAGGATTTGCTACTCCAGCACCTTTCCAGGAATCAAGGTGAGGTTGCCTGATCTGTAATTCCCTGGGTCATCCTTGAAAATAAGAATAACAAGGCATTGAACCTGCAAAGGCCTGTGCATATGTTTACACTTTTGTACTGTGCATGTTTCTCTTCTGCTTAGTGGGGCATTCTTCATGTGGGTGGCATGAAGTAGGTGGATGAAGTCTGATGTAAATTTTGCGTGATATATAGGTTTGTAATTCATTCAACTCAGTATGTTCAGGCTTGAATTTAAAGCTATGCAGTCTTTGGAATGGCAGAACTTTGTTCATTACCAAGCAAAATGGTGTGTCTATGAGAATTGAAAGTTCTGCTTTGCCTGCTTTCAATTATTGTGTGAACTTCTTAGCAAGTTTTGTGTCAGGTAGACATTATCCACTGTCATTGGGTAATTAGCTTAATGGATAATTAGCTTAATTTTTTTCATTGGCTTTAGTAAGAAAAAGGAATAAAGGTCCAAATGTGTTATAACTTTATTTTCCAGGTAAGGAATGATGAAGGAAAGGTGATTCGCTTTCACTGTAAACTCTGCGAATGCAGTTTCAATGATCCCAATGCTAAGGAGATGCACTTAAAAGGGAGGAGGCACAGACTTCAGTACAAGGTTGGTAGAAATGTGAATGCTTTTATGTGAAAATCTGCCAGTGTTAGCTGACTGATCATGGGTTCTTACATGTAAAGACTAGACAAAAGTAGGCACCCTCGGTAAACAACATATTAGAAAAGGGAGTATAGTCTTTAAAGAATAATGCAAACTGTGAAACTATATTTTGGGTTTTTTTAAAAATGTTTTGGACATTGATTTTAGTACAACCCAAATAAGCAACAACTTATTGTTGTTTGCCATGAGTTTCCAATAGTGTGACGGTATTGTTCAATGTTTTTGGCAGGATAAACCACTTAGACTCTTCGTGGAGACATTGAGGAACAA